TAAACAAATCAGAACTCTCTGCTCCTTCAGTTTATTCACACACGCACGGTAAAAGTTTGATTCACTGAACTTTACATGAGCCAGTGAAACTAGTCGTTAGCCAAATAACTTAAATATAATTAGAAACAAAATGTGCTCGAAATGTAAAATCAGCATATGCCAAAAGCTAAATGTGTTTTTAAAGCACTTTTATGCCACATGCTACGATGTTAATCAGCCATTCAAAGTTTACAGAACAGTTCTTAAGGTAAAATAAGATGATGTTGGAATTCTTACCACAACAAATGAAACAGAAGCAGTTTTATAAGTTATTTTTAAGTTTAGACTTTTATCAGTCCACTATTTTAATGAATATCAAAGAGGCTAAAAATTCAAACGTGACATAAAAAAATGTTGTTTGATGTTTCACATTTCTCTCCCTTAATATGATTATTACCTGCCTTCGAAGGCATGGATGAAGCCCAGACGTTTGTTTGTTTATTTATTTATTTTGCATAAAAACCCAAAGGTTTCATTTCGCACAAAGCGTTCTGCGCATGAACTGTGTGAAATCATTTCTCCCTGACCCTGACATCGCAGGAGACGCTTTGGACCAAGCAGATCTGGAGGCTCTCTGGGAGCTGTGGAGATCGAGGAACTTCCTGCAGCATGACGCGACTTCAGGAGGTTTTTATTCTGTGGTTACAGCTGAGCCACAAACAGGAACGTTGTAATGACGTAATGACCAGTTGGATTGTGATGGACAAGTCCAAATCAAACCATCGTCTGCTGCAAATAGCAAAAATAATACCGTATTTTCCGTCGTACACATTGCACCTCCCTATAAGTCGCATCAATCCAAATGTGTCTAATAAAGTGCAGGGCATGCAAATTATGCAAAAAACACGACTTATAGGCCGAAAAACACGGTCATAATAAATTCACTTTTAGGTTGTTAATTTGTGTTTTTATTATAATTTACCAACTAGATTTAAGAATTATTCACAGTTTAAAGAGTTTTACCCATAGTTAAAATAACTATTATTATTATTACTACTATAACTATTAGGTATTTACTCTATATTTTGGATTCTTAACAATTTTTTAGGTTTAAATGTTCAGTTGTAGGTTTACTGAATAAAGAGTGTGATCAGATTTTAAATTAATTTAAAGTATGTTAATTGCTTTAATGAGCTTCTTTAAGTGCAGAAATGATTGTAGATGAACTGTTTTTGTTATTTGCCATTGTTTTTGCAGTCCAGTAAATGTTACAGCTCAGTTAATTCAGTCTTGTGGTTTATTTATTTATTTTTTTAATTTATTTATTATATTTATTATTGTTATTTATTGTATTTATTATTATTATTATTTATTTGTTTTTTTTTTTACATTTTATTTGTTTTTTTTTACATTTTATTTATTTATTTATTTTTAATTATTATATTAAAGTCATTTGAACGCAGCATTTAGTTTCAGTATGAGTTGTTAAAATATATATATTCATGTTTATATCATCAAAGTTCATGCTCAATAATCCAGGTAGAAAACAAACACTGGACGGTTTCTTTATCTGCTGAGACGTTTCGTCCTTCATCAATTCGAGGAGCCACAACAAACAGTCCCACAAGCAGCACACTCCCATAGTGGATAAAAACCAGTTTGCTGGTGATAATAGGATTTCTGAGGCCCGCCCCCTCCGTCAACTCCTCTGAAGCTGCCACATCCAACATGGTTCAAAACATTATGGGCGTTTGCTGCTTGTGGGATTGGCTTTGCTTGTGGCTCCTTGGACTGATGAAGTCCTTTGGATGAAAAAAAAAAACATCCAGGGGAGCTGCCTGAACTTTGTTGTGTTCATGTTTATAGTTTTGTTTTGTTGATTTTTCTATCAGGAGTTTCTCATTTTTCACATTTAAAAAACATCAACAGAGTAGAAAGAAATTTTATTCCCAAAAAGTGACACTTTTGCACTTTAGTCCAATAAAACTTCATACAATCTGAATATTACAGAAGAAAATAACGGCCTTCGGGCGTCTTCTGTTTGCACAAGAGCAAGGTGTGTGTGAGACAGCAGCAGGTGACTATCTCCTTACTCACACACACTGAAAGATCCAGTGTTATTTACATGCCCTCACACATGCACACACTTTGGCACACTGGAAGCTGATAAGCTGTAATGTAGAGCAAACAGGAACACTCTTACATTTGTTTTCCATCAGTGCTCCTCCAACCGTTCAGAGGATTAAAGCAGCGTCACTCGTTCACGTTCACCTGATCAGTCGACTGATGGAGGAACATTTAGAAGTTTTTACATGATTTTGTTTGTCACTCGCTGAGGATGGTGTGTCACTGCAGCATTTTAAACACCTCAGTGGGCAGAAACTGACCCTGTGGCACAGACAAGTTTTAATTTACCAGAAGAAGAGCAGGAGGAAGAAGGTAAGGAGCAACGTCACAGTTAGCAGTAATATTATGACAAGAAGACAGGCGTCATTGTTTTATATTATCAGATTTACAGTAAAAAATCATGTTGGATTGTTTATCTGGTGCTCTAATCTTTAATTAGGCTTTTTTTTTTGGAGGCTAATAATTCTTGGGATGGGTTTTATACAGATCATGGCCCCAACAAACATCTGATTTTAACAGACCATCAAACTGGAACCCAAAGCCAAGCTGATGTTAAATTAACAGCAGCTTTAGTCAAACTACTGAGCTCCCTGAGTGTAGATAAGCAGGTGACAGGCAGGCAGGAAGGTTTGTTTTAAAAAAGTTTAATAAGAACAGTCAAACAGGACTCCAGGACTGAACAAAAACCAGACAATGACATCTGGATAAGGGTCTTGTGACTGATTGTGAGGAATTAAGACAAGAAATAGATTGAGAGGAATGACTGGAGGGAACAGGTGCGGTGCTACTGATGAATATCTGAAATGAGTCAAGACATCAAGGGAGCTGAGGACACTGGACTGGATTATTATTATTATTTATTATTATTTAACCAGGCAGATCCCACTGAGATCACAAATCTCTTTGGGAAAGGAGGCCTGGGCCAGAAGGCAGCCTAACATGCATGTTTTTGATCTGTGGGAGGAAACCAGAGAAAACCCACTCAAGCATGAGAAGAACATGCAAACTCCACACAGAAATGCCCCAGGTCCAACCAGGGATTGCACCCAGGACATTCTTGCTGTGAGGCAACAGTGCTAACCACTGAGCCATCGTGCTGCTAATATGGATAAACAAACTAAAAAATGTCAGGCTAAACAGGCACTAAACACTGTTAACAAACAGAGAGCTTCTAATGGTATAAGTTAAAAAAAACACACTGACACATAAGGAAATGTGAAAAAGAGCAGAGAAACCATGAATTTAACTAGTAAAACTCCAAGAAACCTCAGAACTTTATTTTAATATTGGACCAAGAAGGTTTCGTTGTTTTTAACATGGACAAAAGGTCACAAACAAATGACCTCACATTTATCCGAACAACTTCTTTGTACACAGAGACCATGGAGGACACCCAACCCTAACTGAAACAAAGGTTGTCATGGCGACAACGGGCACCGAGGAGGATGGGAGTGAAGGTGAGTGATGGAGGATTTTCACATTCATCCTATTTATTAACATTTCTGGGTTTGGTTCTTTAGAGGGACGGAGAAGGGTCAGTTTTACCACTTCAAGACTTCAAGACTGAAACTATGTTTAGTTGGTTGTTTATGGTTGCTGTGCCAAAATCCACCAAAGCACCATCATATAATCCTAAGCCTCTTGAAACAGTTTAAAGAAGACCGCGTTGTAAAAAGAAATCTTTTGTTGTTCGTTTCCACATTCTGTCAGCTGACCTGCAGTAACCGTCCCATAACCTCTTATTGGGGTCGCGACCCTGAAGTTAAAGACTGTTGACAGATATTTAACCCTGCTGACGTCCTGCAGGAACGTTTCTAAACTTTAGTTGAATTATAATTTAACTTGACATTTGTGCTTTAACTAAGTGGTTGCGATATGACGTCTACAGAATAAAGACAATGATGGAGCTTAGCCTCAATGGTAGGGAGCCATGAAAAATTGAAGTAAATTGAAATTACATGGTCCTTTTTTGATGAAAATATAAGAAGCAATAAAAACTGAGAAAAGTCAAAAGTTTGAAACGCCACTGTTACATTTTAATTCCCCGACATCTCCCAGTTTTTTACATTCAACCCATTTAAAGTGTGTTTTATATTTATCCACCTGTTTTCCACACATGCACAGGAAGAGCGTCAGGAAACAAACGTGCAACTTGCTTGCTGTGAGATGACAGCTCTAACCACTGTACCACTGTGCAGCAGCCCTATCAGAGGGATTCAAATGTAACAGAAATACAATGTTTAAAAGAATGTGAGACAAATTTACAAAGTTGGATCCAACCGTGGCACCTTATCCCTGGTTAATTAATTAATTTTCAACTAATTAGGTAAATACGGTAATAAAAATTCTCACTATAATCAAGTTAAGACGTTGCATAAACTTTATCTGACTCAAAACGTTAAATTTGTTGTGTTTTCCAAGAACCAAGACCATAATGTTCACCCTGTCACCTGTTATCACCATTTAACTCAAAGTGCAACCTAAAAATAAAGAACAATTTAGAACAACAAATTAAAAAAATGTTCAAATCTGCACTAAAATAATCTTCTTTAGCCGAGTGTCAGTCATTTGAATTGGCTGGTTGTTAATAAAATGAAAATGCAATATCTTACTTTTTTAAATTATGTAAATAATAAATATTAATCTTGTTAATTATATTCCTTTTTAAATTGTTCATATGAGCAGTATGCAACCGGTTTGTAGACCGAGTTCATTTTTATGTGAGCCATTAATCTTAATGTAAACGTATAATTTTCCAACTACAGTTATCGTCTGTAGCTCTGACAGAATTCTCCTTTTTGTCCGCTGACCGTGAGGGAAGATGATCCTTTTCTAAAGAGGAGAGGAAATTAAAGCAGCAAGTTAAAAAAAGAAGATAAGAGGGAAAAACCTAAAAAGGCACGTACAGATTAAGTACTTATTTTATGAACATATCATTTCTTTAAAAACTGGCAGTTTGGCTTCACACGGAGTTGAAAACCAGCCATGTGGGCCACATGTTCGAACACCGTGATGCATGACGAGAGCTGTGTAAAAACACAGGCATGAGCGCAGAAGACACGTCTGTGCAGCGAGGCGGAGGCTCTGCACATCCTCCTTGTGGTGATTTAGGTTTGAGTGACAGCTGGAGCCCACACTGAGAGGAAGACACTGCTCTTCTTGTTATTGGCCTCAGACTGGATCCAGATGTTGACTCAGACGGTTGGCAGGTTCCCTGACTGGGTGCCTGTTTTACTGCAGGCCTACCTGCCTGCTGAATTACTTCCTGCACGGCGGCGTCACTGCACATCAACCTGAGAGAGGTTCATTCAGCTGAGGCTTTTATCAAACTAAAACTCCAGAAGCAAATCATAGAAGAAAAATGTCTAAGGAGTTTCATAAATCAGAACAATCTGTTAAAGTTGTTTTTACTAAAACAACGGAAACCCAAACAACAGCTATGGTCACTTTACTGAAATAGTTTGTTCGCTGGAAGAATAAAATAATTATAAATAGCATATCTAATAAAAAAAACAAAATTAAATCACCCAGTGGCAAACTATTAATAGAATGTGGACTAAAGTTGAACTTGCGGTCAGACCATAAAAAATATATATATTTCTATTTAGGTGCACTGTTTGAAAAAGTAAAGAACAATATTATCCTCCAGCAGCTGGAATGTTAAGCAGCCATGATTAATGGTTAAGACGGATGCATTATTAAGCATTCAAATATGACTTCAACCCTCAGATTGTTGTAATTTTCTGATGCGGACACATTCCTATGATGTCATTGCAGTTCTGTGGCGGTTTAGGTTTGAATCTAAAATCAGTGCGTGAGTTCCTGCTGGTTTGAAGAAGAATCTGAGCGCAACACTCATTTGTTACAAACGTGTAGAACAATCTGGATCGTTTTGCTGAATGCAGTAGACAACTACTGCATTTCATGTGAAAATTCAATGTGAATGTTTATTGTAGAAGAACTTGCTGAAAAACAGCTGAAATTAGCTAAAAACATGCTGAAATGGAAGAACAAGCCTACATTATCAAAAGAAAGAAGAAAGAACAAATTTTCTGAATTAGATTTTGAAAAGCAGAAATGAACACAAAAATTAGGAAATTAGCTAAAAAATAAATAAAATAAAATTAGCAACAAAAAAAGCTGAAAAGTAGCTGAAAGGGCAGAAAAAGCTTAAACTACCAGAAGGAAGTGGAAGGAACTGAAATGAATTCCAAAAATGTGGAATTAGTTGACAGAGCTAAATTTAGCACAAAACAGCTAAAAAGGAGCTGAAATAGCATAAAAGGCTGAAACTAGCCAAAATAAGTTGAAAGGAGCATAACAAGCTGAAATTAGCAGAAAGAAGTTCATTAGGCTGAAAGTAGCAGAAATTACCATGAAAAACTGGAGTATATCTGAAAACAGCTGAAATTAGCTAAAAATAAGCAGCTGAAAAGGTAGAACAAGCTTAAATAAGCAGAATAAAGCAGAAAGAACACATTTGCTGAAAGAAGGAAAAATGAGCACAAAAAATGGAAATTACCTGAAAAAAGCTGAAATTAGCATCAACAACAAAAACAGCTTAAACGTAGCTAAAAAATGCAGAAAGAAACATAGAGAGCACTTTTTGCTGAATTAGGCCGGAAAACATTAAAATGAGAGTAAAAATGTGGAATTAGCTGAAAATGCTTAATTAGCACAAAACAGCTAAAAAGTAGCTGAAATAGCAGAAAAAAAATGAAACTTGCAGACATAAGTTAAAAGGAGGAAATTAGCAGAAAGAAGTTAGAAGAAGCACAGAAATGTTGTAGTTATCGAAAAGAATCTGAAATGAGCACAAAACAGCTGAAATAAAGCTGAAATTAGCTGAAAGTAGCTGAATTTTAAAACAAAGTGTACTAGGAAGCTGAAAGAAGCTGAAGCAGAACAAAATGTAAAAGGAGCAGTAAAAGGTTGTAAATGGATCTAAAGATTCGAAAGATGTAAAATGAGCTCAGTTCATTTTCTATGAGAACAAAAAAGGTAGAAAAGGCTAAATATTTCAAAAAGCTAAAGTTGCTCCAATACCAAAAGTCATAGCAGGATTGTCCTGATAGAGCTGAACATTTAGATTTATGATTTGTTGAAATAGATTATGAACTGCGGGACGAGAAGTGCGCCGAATAACCGTTTTAATTTTGTGAATGCTTCATAAAGTTTGGAAGTCTACAAAAGTTAGTCCTTATCATTGTAAAAAGCCACATCAGCCTCATTTATGTAACACTGTCCTCCTCTAGTCCGTCTGTGTGGCGTCACTGACTATTTGTTCATGAACTCACCTTTTTCTGACCAGACAGCTGCTCTTCTGCTCAGACAGGCTGATGGAGCAGCCTCACAGTGTCTGCGCGGCGTCTCCAGACTCCCAGTGTGAACCCAGAGGGTTAAACTCACCTCATTAAACAGCTCAAAGCATCCCATCAGATCTGAATGTTTACTAAAGTTTATTTTATTGTATTTTTTTTTATTTATCTTTTATTTATACAGGTTAGTCTCATTGAGCCACGAGAACTCATTTTCAAGAGAGACCTGTTTAGGGAGCAGATGGGGGTTAAGGGCCTTGCTCAAGGGCCCAGAGTGAGGGTGAGGGCAGGTGTGGGTGCTTCACCTACCCCACCCACATTTTTGATGTTGTCGGTACCGGGGCTTGAACCGGTGATCTTCCGTTCACAGGCCCACCTTATCTAGCCTCTGCGCCACCACTCCCCCCTTATAAGTTGTGTTCAATGTGAATTACCTCTCTGAGGCAACAATTTGGGTCTATTCTATTCTATTCTATTCTATTCTGTTCTGTTCTGTTCTGTTCTGTTCTGTTCTGGTCTGGTCTGGTCTAACATTTGCTCCAGCATCATTCTGTATAAAAATCAGTTGTAAATCACATTTGATTTCTTGCCCACGCATGCTGCACAAAGTTCTTAAACTTTTTAATTAACAAAGAAAAAGAAAAACGTCTTGATCTTAAAAAAAAATAAAAATAAAAAGTAATAATCAAAAATAAAGTTACAAAGTGTCAGAACCTTCTGAAGATATATTTGCAGTCAGCAGTCTGTGGCTTTACTTCCGGTTGCCATGACGACTAATAAAAGCTTAATTAAGCATCAGTTACCATCAGCTGTGGATCAGTTTTGGTATCAGTGTCTTGTCTTGTCAGAGACCTCAGTCCACCAGCTGGGACCCCCCCAGATAGAACCTCTGCTACCCTCCGACCCGACAAACACCCTGACTCACCTGGGGGCTCTGCTGTCCGGACTCGACGCACCGAGGGCCGACGAATGGGACAGGTAAGACCAGCTGGGTTGTTTTCTTGACCTCCGACAGCAGCAGTCCACGCGCGCGCGCGCACGGCTCCCCGGCTGTGAGCAGGTGAGCTGTATCCCAGCAGCCCTCGGCGTGCGGTGAGGAATGAGCGCCTGGATGTGAAATGCGCTCTGCTGCTGACCTCTGCTTTACGCACCGGTGGAGTGAGGAGTGAGGGGCTGTGTGGAAGGTTTAGAATGCCATGAGGAGACCTGGCAGGGGAGGGGGAGACCGCCCCCCCCCCCCCCACACACACACACACCCCCTCACCCAGCTCCTGAAATACGAACATCAAGGAGAGTTCATCCCTTTTGTTCTCATGCATTTTACTGTAATTTGTGTTTTTCTCACAGTAATAACCAAATTATCAACAGGAAGTTATGGGAGTCAGGTTGAATCAGTAAATGGTAAATGGATTGTACTTATAGCTCCTTTCTATCTAATCCAGACACTCAAAGCTCTTTACAATAATCTGTGTCCTCATTTACCCATTCATACAACTCTCTACTAGATCTCTACAAAGCTAATTGAACAAATACTCTCAATCACCTTAACTACCTCACTAATATCCATAATGTGCAATACAATTGTGTAATACTTGTATTTTTTTTACTTTCATTATTATATCTATATTGCGTTACATTTTTTATATTTTTAGTGTGTTTAATGTGTGTTTTCTTAAGGCGTGTTTTTGCACTGGAAAAAGGAGTGGCTCTTAATTTCATTGCACTGCGTATAATGACAATAAAGGCATTCTGATTCTGATTCTGAAATCATCTAAAGAGACTAATCAGAGCTTTATCACATTCAAACACTGATGGGACACACATCGGAGGCAACGAGGGGTTCAGGGTCTTGCCCAGGGACACTTCGGCATGTGACTGCTGGTGGATTCGAACCCCCAACTCTTGCATTAGAGGACGACTGCTCTAACCACTCAGCCACAGCCGCCCCAAGTAACAAAATTCAAAGTAAATGTAACAAAGTAAAAGTATTTTCAGCCTCATCATCACCGTGAAACTAATGTTCTGTGGAGACGCGTTCACCTATAAACCTCATCAACGTTTGACAAAATAAATCTAATTCCTGTAACAGTGTTTTAATGATAAAGCTCTTGTTTTGGAGAACGACACTCCGTCGGAGCTTTAGAATGTTTAAGGAACTGCTGATCCGGAGTCAGTTCTTGTGGATTTTACGGCCCTGACACCTGTTGAGTCTCGCTCACAAGCAGACCGTGTAACTGCAGTGAAACCTCCAGACACCTCTGCCAGACCAGAAGATTTACATGTTTGGTGGTGAAGGTGCACTCTAACTCCACCACCCCCACCCTGGCTTTGTTCTCAGTTCATTCAGTGTTTCTGCTGTGAAATACCAGAAGGTATCCTGCTTCACTGTCCTTTGACCTTTGAACTGAGGAAGGTCTAATTCTGGCTGACTGACCACAAAACACATACCCCCCCCCCCCCAAAAAAAAAAAACAAAAAAAACAATACAGTCCGATGAAGAATAACAGGATGATGATGTAGTTGTTCCTTCTCAACATTCTATAACATCGTTTATCCAAGCTTGCAGCAAAATAAATAAAAACGCTGATGTAGTCTAAGTTAAATTTACTGGAGTATTCGACACAACTTTTATATTCGTATCAGCGGCAGCTCGATCACAGAAAAAGAGCTCGCGGACCCATCAGGTGAGTCTGTCGTGTCACGGTGAGACAGACCGGCTTGTAATAAGGTCGTGAGTTGTGACTGAGTGCGACAGGAAGTGTTTCTCTGCCCCCCCAAACAAAGGACTGATCGGAGCAGCATTGTGTCCTAAAGCTCCGTGAGTCCAAACAACTGTTTATTTCAGCTCGTCCACTTTTTAATGTTCACGTTAGAAGAGAAAGAAATCAACTTTCCTGATTTAATGAATTGAAATCAGCTCTAAAATTAGCTTGAATTTGAACTCCTTCTCACCAACAGTTAGGGGGAAAATCCCACGTCTGCCAAGTGAAACAGAGGTTAAACCCCTCTGGGTGTGAGTCAGGCCAGCAGAACACAGAGAGCTTCTTAGTTTGGACTTTATGAGCACAGATCGTACATGAATAGATATTCTGATGCATTTACCCTCGACGTGGACTCCGAACCGTTATATGACCGTTTGACTGACGCCTCATCGGGCTGTTCCTACGTGAAATAGTTCTTCTTTCTCAGACTCTGGTTCACGGTGCACAAGCAAAACACTATTTCATCGTTTATTACAGTCCTCCACTGGTGTTTTATTTTAGTTCCCTGAAAATGTTGTTTTTTTCAGTTTACAGTTTCTGCTTATTCTTATTTCCAGTTTTAGCCATGAAGAAAAAAAAACCCACTGTTACTATAATTAAGTTGAATTTATTTGAAAACATTTGTTTTCATCTTCTTCTTTCAGCTTTTCCCTCTTCAGGTGTCTCCACAGCGAGTCGTCCTCCTCCACCTCACTCTGTCCCCACTCCAACCACCTCCATGTCCTCTCTAACTGCATCCATATGTCTCCTCTTTGTCTTTTTCCTGGCAGCTGCATGTCTAACATCCTTCTACCAATATACCCACTGTCCCTCCTCTGGACATGTCCAAACCATCTCAGTGTGTCCTCTAACTTTATCTCCCAGTCCTTCAACCTGTGCTGTACCTCTGATGATCTCATTCCTAATCTTCTCCATCCTTGTCACTCCTAAGAAGAACCTCAACATCTTGATTTCTGCCACTTCCAGTTCTTTTTGTCCATGTCTCTGTCTCCAGACCATACAACATGCCTGGTCTCACCACTGTCTTTAAACTTTTCCTTTGACCTTTGCTGACATCATTTTGTCACAAATCACTCCTGAAACTTTCCTCCATCCACTCCATCCTGCCTGGACTCTTCTTCACCTCTTTACCACACTCTCCATTTCCCTGGACATTGGACCCCAAGTCCTTGAAGTCCTGCACCTTTGTGACCTCTGCTCCTTGTATCCTCCCTGTTCCACCTTCTCCCTTTCATTCATTCACACGTTCTCTGTTTTACTACGGCTGACTTTCATTCCTCTTCTTTCAAACGCTTCCACCTCTCCAAGTTCTCTTCCACCTGTCCCCTGCTCTCACCACAGATCACAGTCATATGCAAACATTAGTTTTTTTAAATGCAGAATAAAAATCTAAATTTTAAAGAGTAATTGGAAGATTTTTTTGTCTCATTCTAAATGTTGTTAAGACTGTCTCCTCATTCTGTCAATAAATCACAGCCACAGTGACTCTTGTCATGATCTTGTTTTCATCTGTTACATATTTTCAGTTATGTCTTGTCAGTGGTATTTTTAATGCTGTTTTCCTCTTCTCTTTTATTATGGAGCTGTTTTCTATATGACTAACATCCCAGATCCAGGGTTTTAACTCTGAACGTGGCTCTCCAGGTGATCCCGAGAGAAAACAGTTTCTATATTTTTAACATTTTCTAAGTGTTTCTATAAACGGATTCAAACTGCAAAAACATTAAGGCACTAAAGTGAAATGAAGCGTACTACTGCTCGACCACTCATCCTTGTGGCAGTCACAAAAAAATCCATTAGGTGTTTTATTATTATCATTATGAGAATAATGAATTGGTTTTTTTTATGTCATACATGACTTGTAACTTCTTTTTTAAATTTTCAGTTCCTTTTTGTGGTTAAAAAAATATTTATATTTTTAAACAAGTTGCCTATAAGTTTCTAGTATGCATGAAATAACATGGTAAAAACACACGGTCTAGTTATGGCTTTAAAGTATTTTAATTGATTTGACCATAGCTCAACAACAGCTGCTGTTTATTTCAACCAGCATTCCTCCATATGTTCCAACATGATTGATATTTTAAATTGTCTGACAGTATCTTAATTTCTCAAGAATTAAGGTCTCAGACGCACTAAAATAAAATGTTTTCTTCAGTTTTCTGTGCCTCACCGTCCGATCTCGTCCAATCAGGAGGCTCGATCCAGGTTTTCCAGCCTGTCAGCTTCTAGGAGCAACTAGAGAAGCAAAGCGAGAAGTTCATGCAGATCAGAGCGTCACCATCCTGCACGCCAAGGTGGCTCAGAAGTCCTACGGCAACGAGAAAAGGTCCGGTGAAAATAAACCTTTTCATACAGTAAAAAATAAAATTAAAAGAGCTGAAGGAAAATATACAGCACATACCATAACTTTACTTAGACAGGAGGGACAAACTGGTGTTTTGGGTAGCAAACACCTTTTTTCCAAATTTAAGTTTCAAAGTAAAGTTGTGTGAAAATAAATATTAATTTAATTTAATTCAAGGGGTTGATGTGATTATTTCTGCTGCCACGTCACCTGCAGGTTCTTCTGCCCTCCTCCTTGTGTTTACATCAGCGGTCACGGATGGAGAGTCACGCAGGACCATCACAAAGGTCAAATAACAATAAGTCAATATAAAATAAAAATATTTTAGTTCCTTAAATCTGAGGGATCGTCTTTGAATTTATTTGTTCTCTTCTTTCTCCGCCACACTCCAGTTGGTGGTTATGGGGATTCTGCGCACAGACTCTGTGGCTACATGTGTTTGGACAGCTCCAGTCAGTCGCAGGCAGACACGTTCAAACTGATCTTTGATGAACAGCCGAACTCCAAGGTGACAGAAATACAAACCTGACGTCGTGGGAAGACGTTTACAAAAATATAATAAGTGGTTTTTGTACAACATGCCCAAAGTTATAAAACATCTTTTAACTGGAAACGTCTTTAGTTCCTCCTGATTTTTCACCGGCCCTTGGTCTTTGTCCCTGCAGAAGCTGTTTGCTTGTGCAAAGTCCCTTTTCATCTCCGATCAGGACAAAAGGAAACATTTCTGCCTGCTGCTCAGACTGTTTGTGGGCAACAGACAGGAAGTGGGTTCCTTCCAGAGCAGAATGATCAAAGTGATCTCCAAACCTTCCCAGAAGAGACAGTCCATGAAGAACGCTGACTGTGAGTCGCACTTTATGAAGTTTTTATCATTTATTTTACTTTGAAATTGAACTCTAATTTAAAAATAGTGTTGTGCATCCTGCATGACTTGTTAACCAACATTTCAAGCATTTGTTTGTTTTCTATCTGAACTTCTGGGTGAAGTGTTCAGTCAGGGTCACAACCAAATGACCAGAACAGGGGTCTGCAAACGTTATGATCAAGAGACATTTTTACACCTTCAGTCACTAAATTAAACGTGTCCAGAGCCGCAGCAACCTTCTACAACTTTGATTATCAACTGGTGGCCCATGGGCCATTTTAGGTTTGTTGGATGAGACGTTGTGGCCAGTAGGGGTGACTTAAAGATAAAAATATCTAATGATTTTTAACATTTATTGATGTTTTTTACAATTTAAGACAAATGAAAAGACTGGATTCTTGTGAAGAATGACAAAAATCCTTTTATAAATTAAATAAAGAACAGCTATGACTTAGAATATGTAATTTTTTGTTTTAATTGTGGAAAAAATAAATAAGTATAGAAATAAAGCAAAAAAGTTTAAGTATTTGCAAAAGAAATGACAGGAAAACGGCAACAACTAGTACATTTTTTTGTTGTTTGTATAACAAACATTAAACTTCAGTTTTATGTTGGTTTTGGTTAAAGCTTGAAAGAGCCTCTGCAGAGCGACCAAAGAGCCGCATGTGGCTCCAGAGCCGCAGGTTGCAGACCCCTGGACTAGAACCTGAAGAAAAAGTCTCAACGGGGTTGGACTAGATTGGAGCAGAAGTCTAAAAAATGTGGAAAACCAAAATATTTCAGCAAAAATTAACACCAGTGGGATTATATTCTAAATGCAAACAGTCAGATTTCACGGATTGTCAGCTGATGCCTGTGCTCTGTGGGTCAAAGGTCAAATCGTTTAATTAAAATCTACACATGAAAACTGAATGACATCATTTCGGCTGCTGAGCTGCTGGCCTTGCAGATCAGGTGACTTCACTTTGATTAGAAAAATATTTCCATTTACCTCAGATGTTGGAATTGGATTTGGAAATGTTTGACCTCTAACTTTGTTCTACGTGCACATCAGAAACTTGTGCTCAGTGACCGGGCTGTGGACTTCGTTCAGTTGCAGGAAGGAGCATAAAATCAGAAAACTCTCTTTGTATTTGAATTTGTTTTAAAGTTCAGATGACAAGTTAGTTTGGGTTAAGATTTAAGGCCAGAGTTTGAAATACTGGATGAACCTTAAAGTCTGTTAAATTATTTTAAATTAAATTTAGTTACAGTGCCATTTACCATTGACACCAACCCAATTCACTCTAAATGATTAGATGAGTGCAAGAAATAATAATTCACAACACAATGTCTTAAAACATCAGTTTACATTAAGAAGCAACATCCATCATCATCTTTACTCGCTCAAGTCATGGGGGTCACTGGTGCCATATCCTGCAGTCACTGTGCGAGAGGCGGGGGACACCCTGGACAGGTCTCCAGTCCATCACAGGGACACAGAGACAAACGAGATAAACAACCATTCACTGTCTCATCTAGGGACAATTTAGAGCTCCCAATCAGCCTAACATGCATGTTGTTGGTCTGTGGGAGGAAACTGGAGAAAACCCACGCATTCACTGAGAGAACATGCAAACTCCACCCAGAATGACCCCCGGCCAGGATTCAAACTGGCGTCCTTCTCGCTGAGAGGCAACAGCTCTACCCTCTGAGCCACCATCACCATCACTGAAGCAAAATGAAATAATTAAAACACCACATTGAACTGATGATTGGCCTCAGAACTAGCACCAGACAAACTCCTCTGAGATCACAGATCTGTGTTGGAATGGAGACCTGGGCCTGAAGGAAGCCCAACGTGCACGGCTTTTGGACTGTGGGAGGAAACCAGAGCACCCGGAGAAGACCCACGCAAACTCCACACAGAAAGACCCCAGATCCAAACCAGGGATTGAACCCAGAACCTTCTTTGCTGTGAGGCATCAGTGCTAACCACTTAGCTATTACTAAAGTTACTTTCCTTATTAAATAAATAAATAAACAAACTGATCATAGTTTTTGTCTGTTGGATAATTCTTTGTCATAAGAGCGGATAAGGACTAAAAGCATGAACATACAATGAGAGAAATAAAACCAGTTTATCAACAGTACTGGACTTTTGCTCTTTTATGGAGGTTGCAGACTTTAACAGTTAACACTGTATAAAAGTAACAACTTAAAGAAGTAGGAAGTGCATTTATGGTCATGATGGTTTTCACAAGACAAAACGACAAAATTGATTGATTACAAGCAGTTATTGATGTATCAAGTAACAAAATGTGCACGTTCACACTAAAAACGCCAGACGTCTGAATACCAGCAGTGTCGTATAGTTTAACTGTGTGAGTTTTGTGTGTTTGCAGTGTGTATATCGTCCTGCTCCAGAGTGGCTTTGTTTAACCGTTTGCGCTCTCAGACGGTCAGCACTCGTTACCTCTCAGTGGACAGAGGAGCTTTCATAGCCAGCGCCAGACAGTGGACAGCCTTCACCATCACCTTGGGTAAATGTGTGTGCGTTAACTGTACAGCAGTTTTCAGATTTTTATCCACACACAGAGATGTGCCTGTGTTCTGAAAAGGTCAGTGTGTTGAAACTGTGATTTAGATGAGACCTTAAGGAAGAGCAAATCAAAAGTTTTCCATTTTCTTAAAAAATGACTCCAACAGTGATACGGTGTGTTACCTTGAGTTAACAGGTACACAGTGTTTATAAATTAATTTATTTTACTGTCTGGATGCGTATCATTTTTAAGATGAAGTAAAGTTTAAGATTTTTTTGATCCCCGAGTGATTTTTTAATTATCATTTGGTTCCCAAATTTTAGAAGTTGTCTTCAAAAAAAATATTTTAGTTAGACTTTAATGATTTTTCAACAGTTTTTTTTTATTTTTGACCTTTATTTGTCCAGGTTAGTCTCACAGAGACTCATTTATAAGACTGTTTTAAACAAAGAACACAAATGAGGTACATACAACAGTAAACAATCATATAACAGCATATAAAATGAAAAGTAAATAAAATAAATTATATAAACCAAAATAAACATTAAAAACAGCTACATTATAAAACGGTGTAAAATACTAAATACAGGAAAATCTGCATTGATTTTTGCAGTGAACTTAACAGTAGGTCAAAGTCGACATCTTCAGATCTTTTTGCAAGACATTCCAGGAAACAGAAAGTAGGAGAAGGTCCTTTTGCCAAGTTCAGTCCACACTGAGGGGACGCTGCAGGTAATGATGTCTTGAAGCGCACGCACTGATGACATGTAGGAGGAGATAGATGTAATCATGACCACACTCTGACTCTGGTTGAGTTGAAACCAAGAAAAGAAGAAGAAAATGGCAGAAGCTGCTCCAGCTCCCGCTCCGGCCAAAAGCAGCCAAGAAGAAGAGCGTGAAGCCGAAGGTCTGTTCTAGCGTTAGCGAGCAGGTCGTGAAAGTTGTGGCTGCTTCCAAGGAGCACAGCGGCGTGTCTACTGCCGCCCTCAAAAAGGCTCTCCAGAGGATATGATGTGGACAAGAGCAAAACCAAGACCGCCATCAAGAGCCTGGTGGCCAAGGAGACCCTGGTCCAAACCAAGGGAACAGACGCCCCTGGATCTTTCAAGATGAGCAAACAGGCTGACACCAAGGCCAAGAAGCCCACCAAGAAAGCCACTCCTAATGCAAAAAAGCCCATTGTCAAGAAACCTGTCGCGGCCAAAAAAAACCAAGAAGGTGGCTGCAGCCAAGAAACCCGCAGCTGCTAAGAAGTCCCCCAAGAAGGTGAAGAAGCTCGCTGTGGTCAAACAGGCAGCCGAAAGCCCAAAGAAGGTGGCGAAGAAGGTGTCCGCAGCCAAAAGAGCTCCAGCAAAGAAGGCAGCCAAAGCCAAGAAGACGTGAACTTTGATGCACTGAACTCCTCAAAGTATAACTGTTAGATCGAGCACACGGTCATTTATTTCACAACAGCAGAGTTTGTAAAGTTGCACCAAAATTCAATATGGGTTTATATTTTTGGAATATTATTTTTCCTTTTTATATAAAACGTCTGAACTACAAAAGAAAAATAAATCTACTGTTCCTTAAATGAAAACATGTCACCTTTCACACCAGAGTTTTGTTCAGACTTTGAAAACATATTTTCCATCTTACATGATGTCATACTACTTCAAGTGATGTTTTAGCTCTCTGAGTATGTGTTAAATATGGCTTTTAGCTACTACCAAATTAAATTATAGCTTATTATATATAAGTGTGATTAAAGTATGGCCATTTTAATACATTCTAATTTTATTAACTGTGGTAGCCATCATGAATTGGAGCAACTCCAAAACATCATCAGCTATAGATGGACAGCCAGAGATTAGTTTCTGAAAGTTTCATTAAAATCCATTGTGTGGTTGATGAGATATTTTGCTAACAAAAATCCACAAACATATGCAAAAATGTATAAAATCATCCCATTTGTGAAAAAGTTGCAAAATAAACATGCGTGTGTGTGTAACGAGTGTAAAGCCTAAATTTGAAGTGTCAAAATGAGTTGTGGAGCTGAACACATAAACTCAGAAAAAAAAAATGAAGAAGCAAAAACACGTCCTCATGTAGTGAACCTAACCTGATGTCAAAACTAAAGCCTAAGGTCAAAACCTTTGACCTTAAGAACCTTGTGGGACAGAAACTGTCATTTCATTGATCTGCATCCAGAAGTACAGTTTGACCCATCCTGAGACTTTCTTTCTTGAATTAATCAAGTGGAAAAGACAATTCTCTATGATCATTACTATTTTACAAATGTTTTGATAATCAAATTGTGTTAGTTCAAACAATGTTTACAGGTTGAAGAGAACTACTCATTTTTATTTACATAAACAGTAAGTAATGATTTTTATTCCTCATTCAAAGAAGAAATCAGGTTAATATGCATTTCTTGATTTTCTGTCTTCAATGAGCAAATTTGTAAGTGTGTTAGAGTTCGAGGTTCGGTCAACTAAAAAGTTTACTGAAAAGAAATGTCATGTTTAACTTTCACAGAAGATACTAGGTGAATTGACTCCACGAAGTCTGAAGTTCTCCAATAATCTTTCTGTCTGTCACTAAAACAATCCTTGACTTTCCATAACACCTTACATCACAAACCACACCTCTGTTCTGGTCCATCCACGAATCAGAAAGCTCTCAAATGAACCGGAAGTCGAACCCATTTAAATGTGGCAACTTCCCAGTTCTCAAGGAGAAGTGTCGTCTAAAAGTTCCGTTGTCTGTGTCGAAGAGAGACGAGACGAGATGAGTAGAGCTTTGAAAGAGTTGGAGACGTAAAGAGTTCAGAGTTCTTGGATGCAAACGCATTCAAGATGATCCAGAGACGATTTTGGGGATTATAACTTCTGTTTGGATAACCTCACACGACTCCTAAGGGTTTGGCTGTCCTCACGGAGACGCTGAAAGAGTCAGAAGGGAACTCTACACCGACGCTGATTCTATCATCAACCAGGTAAAGGTTCTATTTCGACCAAGCGTACCGTGGGCCAAGCTTATTCTCCAAAGAGCGTGTTGTTCTGGTACCACAGATAAATTCCCTCACACATCTCTCTGTAAGATAAATCTCCATTTTCCATCTTAAACTCTCCTTTCTCCTAAAAATTAATCCAGATGTTTTCATTAATGTCTGTGGTGATGCAACAAAAATCATGGCCGTATGATTTTCCTGATTGCAAAACTGATTAAGTGATGTCTGCCGTTTTAGCTGAAAAGTGAAAACAATCGCCGTATTGTTCTCACTTCCTGTAAAACTATGCTGTTGTTATTTTCATATTTTGCCAAATTAATGTAAATGTTTGATGTTAAACTTTGATTCTGTAAATAAATGACCGCATTCATTTTGATGGGTCAAAGATAAATAATGTCTCTCGTTACATTTCTGTTAAATTCAATGCACGACATTTACACAGTCAGAAAAATGAAGAACCCGTGAAATGTATGAATATCTGCACCCAGTTCATACTACACTCAAAAAAAAAGAAAAAAGAATTGCACGGGGTTTTAATTTTAACAAAAACTCATGTCCATGCACAAAAAAAAATTACCTGGATGAGTTCAACATCCAACAATGATGCCAAAAGAAACAGGGATAATCTTTTGCCTTTGGTGGCATCAAACGTACACGTTCCAGGTATTAGACCGCTCCGCTCATAACCCGGACCACACTGCATTAATACGGGCGCTGTGTGAGCGGATTTTCACCAGCAGTTTCCTCTCACACGTCTGGAGGAACCCGTCTGAAAGGTCACTGAGGTTATGTCTGCAGCACAGTGCGCAGTGTGCACAGACCTCCCACCAGCCAAACCTCATCATCCATCAGCTCTCCGTCTTCACACGCTCACCGTCTATCTGTCCTCATTCATCTGCTTGAGCAGCTATAAAAGGAAAAAATAAAATGTCTTTAAATAAACGATTTATTGACTTCAAGTGGAAACATTAAACTATCACTACTTCAAAGCTGTGTGTTACAGTAAAACTATATATATTCATGTGTAGTTGTCTGTTTGCAGTGGATGACCACCCTGCCAACCAAGGGGGCTATGTGCTGAGTGAAGCCTTCATCTGCTATGGTTCTGTGGTCCAATTAATTTGTACTGAGTCAGGAGTCGCTCTGCCACCCATGGTAAAGCTCACACACTCACACGCACACATCCTTGTCTATCTTCATAAGACGATGCCTTTCCTTAAAGCACTCCATGTCCCCTTTAATCTACAGAAATATATGGAAGCCCAGGATTTACAGAATTAATTTTTGGTTCATTTCCCTTATGTTTTGGGTTCACTGGTTTCCAAGGTTGTAGGAATCACTTCCAGTCTGTTAATATTCTCAACAGTAGGTCACTAAAGGTTCACTGATCTGGTTGATGTCTTGGAAAAGCCTCAGCAGCTTGGCAAAAAGTAAATGGACTGTACTTATACAGAACCAAGATACTCAAAGCACTTTATAATACATGTGCCCACATGAACCCATCTACGCAGCATTCTGCTAGATCTCTACAAGGCTAATCTGAATCTGTAGAGACTAATCAGTGCTTTATCACATTCATACACCGATAAGACACACATCGGAGGCAACGAGGGGTTCAGTGTCTTGCCCAAGGACACAGACATGTGACTGCTGGTGGAGTCGAACCCCCAACTCTCCCATTAGAGGACGACTGCTCTAATCACTCAGACACCACTCCCCCCTGGTAGCACATGGTAGACTGGCACCTTGATATAACACTTGTTGTTTCAGCAGTTTACTTTAGTAGCAAATCATGCCACCAACTCTCTTTATCCCTAACATCCTTCTGTCACACCAACCCTCTGAATATCTTCTTTGTCTACATCCATTATCCTTCTCTGTGATCGTCTATCCATTCATTATCTTTAACATCCTTTGTATTCCCTGGGAGAGCTGGTGTCTCTCGTCAGCAGTAATTGAGGTGGGGTACACCCTGGACATGTCAGTCCATCACAGGGACACATAGAGATAAACAAGCATGCACCCAAATACACACCTAGGACCAAATTGGTGTTGTTTGTTAACATTTGTATATTTCTGATCTGTGGGAAGAAACTGGATTACTCGGAGAAACCCATGTAAACACAGGAAGAGCATGCATGTGTTATGCAGAAAGGGCCTATACAGGAATCATGTCTAGGACATTCTTGAAAGTTAAACTGCATAGTTTATCACAGTTTATCACATAGTTTAATCATAGTTTATCACAGTTTATCACATAGTTTATCACAGTTTATCACATAGTTTATCACAGTTTATCACATAGTTTATCACAGTTTATCACATAGTTTATCACATAGTTTATCACATA